TGTTGTTATGTGACGTCAAGTCGGACCTGACTCATAGCGACCCCTCCTTGGGTTTCCAAGGCAGTATCACTACGGAAGTAGATTGCCCCATCCTCCTTCTGAGGAGTGGTGGTGGGCTTGAACCACCAGCCTTCTGGTTAGCAGTCAAGTGCCTTAGGTACTACGCTACCAGAGCTCCCAGGTAAACTCCAGAAGCTGAAAAAGGCAAAATAAGAATTCTCCCCTAGAACTTCTAGAGAGGGACACAGTCCTTCTGACACTTTGATTTTAACCCAGTGGGACACATTTTGGGCTCTGAACTTCAGAACTCTAAGATAATAAATTTGCTGAGAGGTTCTACAAGGTGAGATTAAAAGACAGATCATCCTTTTGTCTAGGGCCATCCTGGGCCTGGTTTCCAGCCTGGGAATCCAGGGCTCTTGGTATGAACAGTGTTCTTTCCCTGAAGCATTCACTACAAAGGCCTAATGCTGGAACCTGCAGGGTGCAAAGGAGCAGGAGCCATAGCTTAGGCCTGCCATAAGGGGCCATAGGGTGGGGATGGCCTCTTTCTCATGCCCTTGTTTGTGTCTGTGCTATTTTCCCTCAGTGGTCTTCCAGTGTTCCAAGTATTTGATTGATTAAATATCTGGGGTATCAACATTATCTTAGGAAAGGAGTCTATGGCTGGGTCAGCCTTGGTTTCTTTTTGATTTTCAGCCTCATATTTTTCCTTAACTCCAGGCTTCTCTCCTTTGACTTAGGAGCTCTGGTGGCATAGTGGGTAAGGAATTTGGATGCTAACCAGGTCAGTGGTTCAAACCCACCAGCTGCTCTGCAAGAGGAAGATAAGACAATCGACTTCCATAAAGATTTACAGCCTTGAAAACCCAGTGGGGGATGCTATGAGTTGGAATCCACTTCATGGCAGTGTGTATGGTTTTGGTTTTTTTTTGCCTTTTGATGCTCCCAGCAGAGGGACATCTCCTAATTGACCTTGAGAGCCAACAAGGCCCTATCTCCTTCCCCCTTTTTTCTTGTTCTGTAATGACTGTTTTGTCAATTTACCAAGATGTTCTGTTGTTTGAAACAACTGGTGTAAAGGAATCATTCTGAGTCCTACTGAAATTCTTTTTACATTTTCTGCCACCTGTTTGGTCACTGAGTCTCTGACACAGGAGAGGGAGAAGACAGTGAACTGTGGAATCTCTGTGCATGTGGCTCTGATGGGCCTATATTTCCCTTCTAGTTGGGACATTTTGTAGGTCATTGTCTTCATCTGGGTACAGTCCCCAAGACTCCCAGGCCACCACCTTTTCTCTGATTTGCCTGATTGAGTAATTTTCTGGGCCAGAGTTATTATGGAGGCTGAATCACATTTCCTGTCTAATTCAATGCTTCTCCAAGGACTTCTAGCCTCAGAATCATCTCTCCTCAAACCTGCCTGTCTGGGTCATTCACCCATAACTTATCAGTCAATAGATCCCTTCCCCAGGCTACCCTAGATAGACATATACCACATGTACTGCAGTGAATCAAGTGGTGCGTTCAGGAGAACTGAAGCAGGCATTCCGCCAGCTGCCCATGGAGTCCCTCCCTCCTAATTGCTCTTGGCCAAGATCATACTCTCTTCTCATGAACTGCTCATATGAAATGACAGATTGCAGGGGTACAAAGACCAGCCCCCTTGCTTCCCTGCAAGATAACTCAAAAGGGCTTTAGAACTGTGACATTGACTGAAATCTTTTTATAACTCTATCACAATATAACTTCTCCTTCTGGCCAATCCTATTTCCTTATATTTTCAAAAATATTTTCCCTACAGCACTCCCCAATAAACCCTAAACATGTAAATCTCTGAGGCTCAGAGTTGTGGGGAACTGGGACTGTGGTACCCCATTCCCACTTTTGAGGAGGCATTGAGACCTGGCAGATAGGATTGGGGGAAGACCTTACCTACAATCATGTGGTTGCAGACATCACAGAAAGTCGGCTTCTTGAAGATGTATTCTTGAAAGGCATGGGCCTTGCCGCTGCCTGGGTGCAGACTAGCCCTGGTGGGTGTGGATGTCAGGCTTCCAGGAGCAGGGAGTGGGCCGGAGTTGGGGCTGACCTCAGCCAGCATGTCTGTTTGCAGCTTCACGTCGCTGTTGGTTCGCTGGAAGAAGTTGTCAGCACTTTTGCTCCGTAAACTCTTGGTCTTGAAAGAAAGTGATCGTTTTAGTTTCTGGAGCTGCAATGCAATGACAGAACAGTCTCTCTTACGATCAATCATGCAGACTCAAGCTGTGGGGGGTGAGACCTGCTCCATGCACTGCACAGTTCCTATGGACACCCTCAGTCCTTATCCCTGTGTGGGTGATTCCATGGCCTAGTGAACAGGGAATAAACACCCCCAAGGTAGGCTAGCAAAAAGTGTCATTTTGCCTTTGCATCTGCCCTGCTCATCTCACCCTGCCTCCATAAGCACCCACTAATGTGCTGAGAAAATGTCTCATGATAGTGGGTTTTTGATACACTTTGACTTTTGAATTTGAATCATTGGAAATATAAAGTGTATGAACTTGGGGTGTCAGCTGGCCTTTCTCTCTTATGGTCAGTTAACAGACACTTCTCTTTGCACACAGCAAAGCAGAAAAGGCCATTGTTTGACTCAAAATCAATCTGGCTAAACTATCCAAAAAACCCAAACCAGAAGCTCTCAAGCCTGCTTGGGTTTGAAGCAAATGGGTAATGTGTGTGTGGGGGTGTGGGGGTGTGTGTGAGCATGCATTTACAGAGTATATAATCCTCCACCCATCCCCTTGTTTATGGCCTTGGCAGCCTACACAATTCCTCCTTCACTTTTAGGACTCATGAAGAGGCACTAAAATGAGCTGGGAAAAGAACTAGCTTTTAGCTTAGACACTAAATGTCTGGATTTGGGCCTATGCTACACCCGCAAGCCAGTCTTCACATTGAAGCTAGAGAGAGCTTTTGAAAACACAAATGTGATCATGTGAGCTGCTTGTTTAAAATACTTCAAGTAATTTCCTTTTTTGCTTAGGTTTAAAGTTCCTTGTCATGGGCTTCAGGGACTGGCAGATTCTGGCCCCAGATGACATGTCCAGCCTGAACTTATACTACTGTGCACCTGCCCCATCCCTCCCAGCCTTTCCAAAGTCTCTCTCATTTGCTATGCTTCCTTTCCCTGCCAGTGTTTGGTACATAGTTTAGTAAGTCAAGGAATCTGCCAAAATTCTGTCATGGAATGTGCAAACCAGGGGGAGAGAGACTTATCAAAGTAAGTGTTATCACATAGAAAAAAATAAAATCATTATTTTTTGCTCTTCACTGAGTTCAGATGATTCAATAAATTGTTTCCCTTTGTCTCAAAGCCAGAAAAATAATATCTGTGATGATTATATCAAAGTGCTGTTGTGAGAATCACAGAGGATAATGTGTGGGAGACCTCTCTGAGAACTCTATAAGATGATGTAAATGGAAGGAGGAGGATGGGGAAGAGGAGAAGGAGGACCGGAGGAGCAGGGAGCTGGGAGTATGGAGCTGAGCTAAGTGCTTCACCAGGTGATCCCTTTGAATCACACTAATAATCCAATGAAGACGCTGTTATTTTATACCTGGAGAAACGTAGGCTCAGACTGGTTAAGGAACTTGCCCAAGATTACACAGCTCTTGTGTGTAAAGACCAGGATTAAAAATTAAACGCATCTCCCTCCAAACTCCTTCCATTCACTGAGTCTTCAGGTGATGGATGAAGGAATAGAGGAGATTAGTCTCCTGGGAAATGAAATTGCTTCCAGTGGAGGTGATGGTGGTGGGGGGGATGTGTGATGAGGCAGAGGAGATAGGGGAGAAATCCTAGAATGATGTCCTTGAGTAGGTGAGAGGAGGTAGGATATAGTGCACAAGAAAGAAGGCAGAATGTGAAAGTAAATCTAGCTTGGGGAACCTATATTCTTTATTTTGCATATTTCAATTTTCTTAAAAATAACAAAGAAGCATGTTCTGTATATCAAAGGAGAACATCAGATGTCACCACATGACACAGGGATGGGACAATGCCTATACTCTCCAGTCTTGTCTTCTTCCTCCACCCTGTACTTTATCTCCACCTTCCAAACCTTCCATCACACTCAGTGTTCTGTGTTCTCTAGAAGTTTAGTGTGATGCCAGGAGATCTGTAGCATTTTCTTTGCCCTTGGAGAGGTGATCAGAAACTGTGTGAGGCCTTCAGAGCCTGCTTGCCTCTAGATCTAGAGACTATCTCATAGACGTCAGTATGGCATTTCTTATTCAAGTGGACAGCTTGAGAAGTGCCTTTAGGTTAAATAAAGTCCAAGATGTAAGCGCAAAATAATATATTTTCTCCAATTATCCTTAAAAGAGCAGAGGCCAGATGGGAACATATGAAACACAGAAATAGAAGAAAACCCCGTTAATGGCAAATTTCACAAAATGATTAGCTTCCCTGCACTGTTTCCACAGCCTTACTCCATTTTATTTATGAAAATAATGCCAAAAAGAACAGATATCCTTGAGAACCAAACCATGTGCCAGAAACTGCTCTATATATTATACTTCATGTAATTATCCTACAAAGTCTATGAGTAGAGAATCATTTATTTAATCATTAAAATATTAACTCAATTAACATTTATAGAGTTACTGTTATGAGCTAAGCATACTCCTTGGCTCTGGAGATACAGCAGTGAAAAAAGGGATAGTGTCAGTTCCCTTGAGGTTTTAAGGTTTAGTTGGTGGATCAAGTCAAGAAAATAAATAATCAAAGACATATATAATATACATTCAAATATTGATAAGTGCTATTAAGGAAAATAAAAGTAGTCAGGCTTTAGAAGATGACAAGGAAGGTTATCTCTGACAGATGTCACTTAGAGGTATGAAAGAAGTGAGTGTGTGAGCAAATTGGAGAAGGGAATTCTGGGCAGTGGGAAAACCAAGGGCAAAGGGCCTGAAAGGAGAACAGTGGTTTGTATGTTTAAGGAACAGTCAGGATGTTGCTGAGTCTGAAGCAGAGTGATAAGGGAAAAAGAGTGCAAAGAGGCCAAGGGTTAGCTTTATGTCGGGATTTATAGGTCATGGTAAAGACTTTGGAATTTATCCTAAGGTAATGGTTTTAAACATGGAAGAACCAAGGTCTGAGTTTTATTTTAAAAGGATTACTTTGGCTGCCATGTGGTGGACAAAATGGAAGTGGAGAACCCAGTTGGGAGACTCCTGTAACAATCCTGTTGAGAAGTAATTTTGGCTCAGTCTAGAATAGTTATGATCAGATATTATTGAATCTGGCTTACATTTCAAAGGTAGAATCAGTTGGATTTGTTAGAGGTCAAATGTGGAGTATGAAGTAAAAAGAGGAGTCAAGAAAAGTTTCAGGTGTTTGGTTGGAGGAATGAGTGAATGGAGGTGCTGTTTACTGAAAAGAAGAACTCAGGAGAACAAGCAAGTTGGCATGGGAGAGTAAGATTGGGATCAAAGGGTGAGTATGGGATAAATTAGATATGCTTATTTGGAAAGAGATTGAACAACTGGAAAGAAACTCAGCAAAGATGCAGAAGAAATAAACAATACGATCACCCAACTTGACCTTATAGACATCTACAGAGCATTCTACCCAATGACAGAAAAACATATATATATGTATATATTCTTTTTTTCCCAGCACATATGGAACATTTTTTCAGGATAGACCATATCTATCCTGAAGCAAACCTCAATAAATTTAAAAACAATGAAATATTGCAAAGCATTTTTCTAGATCACAATGCTATAAAATTAGAAATCAACACCAAGAAGACCAATGGAAAAATAGCAAATGCATGGAATTGGACTAATATCCTCCTTAAAAAAGACTGGGTAATAGAAGAAATAAAAATGAAATAAAAATATTCCTTGAATCAAACAAGAATAAAAACACAGCATACCAAAATTTTTGGGACACAGCAAAAGCAGAGATCAGATGGCAATTTATAGCAAGAGATGCCCACATCAATAAAGAAGAAAGTGCCAAAATCAATACCTTAACCCAACATCTTCAACAATCAAAAAAGAGCAGGAGAAAAAAAAAAAAAAAGCCTACAGTCACCAGAAGAAAAGAAATAATAAAATTCAAGCAGAAAGAAATGAAACAGAAAATGGAAAGACAATAGGAAAAATCAACAAAAGTAGAAGTTGGTTCTTTAAAAAAGATTAATAAAATTGACAGATATTGAAGAATTAATTCTGGCAAACTTAACAAAGGAAATGAAGGAGAAGATGAAAATAACATGAATAATAAATGAAAGAGGTGATGTCACAACAGAAGCAAAAGAAATAAAAAGAATAGACTCAGGGGCAAGATGGCGGACTAGGCAGAAGGATTGCACAGACCCTCTTCAACAAAGAAAAGGGAAACCAATTAACACAGACACAGAAGATAATCTTGGACCCCTGAGCCTTGAAGGAAAGGATGCAGATTTGGACTAAACC